AAAGAATAGTCCGTATGGTAGCAGAGTCTCGACCCGGGCTTGCACGAAGGCTGTACCACGAAGCACTGAGATCCCCAGCCAAGCAGTCGGCCATCATATTCGGACCCTACGGACACCCTCTGGATTTCTATCGGTTCGGTACCGTCCTCTTCGTGGTAGAGGACATCGGGTTTTTCCGAGCGCTTTCATACATCGAAATGTTAGTGAAGGCCAGCCGCAAGCGCGAAGTGATGGTGCGAAAACTAGAGGTTCTCTGGAAGCGACAAGTTGGCAAAGATGGCATGTTTTTATCCCCGACAAGTACTTTGAAGTCTGAAAGCCACCTTGGCTGACTGAAGTTCTGGCAGAAAATCCTCAATGGGTAAATAAATGGATGCAAGACCTTTTCAATCGCGACTGGAGATCGTTCAAGGTGAGCTTTTTGCTAGTGCAGCTCATCCTGGGCGCTGCGATCTGACCGTGCTTCAGATTTTGCGATTCAGCATCTACTGCCCGCGTACTCAGTCAAGCCCCCAGGAAAACCTTTCCTACGAGCATAACGCAATGCTTTGTTACTTTTTTGGCTCTATCAAGATCGAGGAAGAAGTTGCACGGCATCTCGATAACCGATGCGGAGCTATGGCTGTAGCGGGTGAGTGTCCCCAGTCCAACATCCTACCATCATCGCTCGTTGAAAAGGCGCAACATTGCGGCTACCATGCTAACAGCACATACAGTATGTGCAGGTCCGTCAATAAGTGAGGCTGTGACGAAAGCTGTACAGCCACACGCAGGGAGGAATCTCCAGCTGATCGTTCTCGACCCCGATATGAGCCCTGCACCGGATGGTGATGAAGATTTTTCTGGCAGCGTCAAGTCTGCAGTAGACTGCCAGGCTCCAGCACACCAAGTCTCAGGGGCAGGGGAGGATAAGCTTATCCACCAAGTACGACGATTTCCAACGGACAGCCGAAAGCTACAGTATCCATTGCCCAAAGAAAACGATACGCAAACTGGAAAAGTCGAAATGAGCAACCACTCGAAGTGGGTGGAAAATAGATTGGCACAGGGGCGCTGAAAGCCTACGATCCCAGTCACCGAACTATGAACTTCTACCAGCGTCATTCTGCGCCCTAATAGCATAGGTTGGTTTCACCGCCTCAGTCAAATCCGCCGCGCGTCGAATCCGCTGTGCCTGCCTCTAGTGGAGGCCTCTTCGATTGACGCGGTCTCAGCACAATGGTTGAATTTTCAGCTCATTGGTAACTGTATCTTCCGCCGGCAGTTCATGTATCACAGGGAGGGCACCATAGAAAGTTTGGAGCCTGGCCTTGTTCGCCGCACAGCCGGTCCGCCTTCTTGAGCAGATCCCTTCTCGAGGGAACATTAATGGATCTCCTCGGTGCTTGACATGATAGAAAGACGATCGAGGGCCATGGCAAAGCTGGCAGCGAAGTGTGCCGATCTCGGGTAGGCTGGTGTGTGCATTTCGTCCTGTAGATTCAGCACACTCCACAGGAGGCACAGAGCTGCCTACTTTTCGGGAAGATTTTGAGGGATGAAAACATCTCTTGGATCTGTTTAATTGGCACATTATCATTATCTGAAACAAATAGATCGTGAGCTCCTCATACCTTGCATCTATCCACAGTTTAGTGCCAATCAACCAATTCATATTCATGTGCGCCCAGAGATCGATTGAAGGCTTTCAGAAGTAAGTAAGCCCCAAATGGCACTGGTTATAAAGTATACGGGAGAATGTAGAGCGAGGTAGACATCATTGGCCCATGGAAGCATTTCCGCTTTACCTCAAGCGATATTATTGATCGCACGCGAATCATATTACATCCTTGGAACACAAAAATGCATGTATAGGTGGTTAAGCGTGAAGCTATATTTTGACCTGGAAGTGAACAATGTCTTTCCACAATATGCAAACGACACCGTTCAGCTCGGCTTTGCTTGTTATCGGCCGGTTGGAAACCCGGTTGGACCACAACTTTTTGAGGCTCACAAAAGCGCCAGAACACGTAGGATAACTGATTATAATCTTCCATCAGCCAACCGAAATTCTGTACTATCGGTCCTCAGCTTCTTTGCCCGCTGGAAAGAAGTAGGTACAATTATTTGAGGGACTCGAGGTCCCTGTTCACCGATCGACCGACAGACCGGTCATTGCCCTCATTGATGTCATTACCGTACCGATATAAAGCTGGCAGCCCGCTAACCTGGTCGTTCACAGGTCCTCGTTTGTTAAGCATGCAACCCATGGTACTAGCCGCAATGCTCACTTTAGCTATAGCTACCGCTGTAGCGGCTGCGCCGGGACCTGAACTTAGTGTTCAGCCATGAACGTAGTAAATTAAATATTCCTTCTCACAGCTTCGCTGACGAGCTTTAGATGCTTTCTACCCCACTTCAACTCGTTGCCTGGACAGAGCCTGATTGCAATGGAGGTTTTGGTGTCACCCAATTCACTGACTCGGTTCTGGCATGAAATATCTCCGACGGCTACTTAATCGTTCAGTGACACAGCAGGGGCAGTTGGATATATCCGTCACGAGTAACTTCACTTCCTGGTACTCCAACCAAGACCAGCTGTGCTACAGCCGTTCGTCCTGTAGCAACTTTTGGCAGACCTATCACGTCGTGAATGGAACCACCGCATGGTATAACACGCCCCCATTTACTTATCACCGGTTGTGGAATAACCCAGGATTGCCCACGAAATAGATGAAAAAAGAGATAGGAAGGAATAAACAACACCATCACTGCATTTCTTGAAGTTGTTACCTACCGATCTGAGTAGCCTCCTAACTAAACGTAATTACAAAATCATATGAACCATACGCCAGTCCTACAGACGGGTTTAACTTACAGGAATTTGAGAATAGCACTGGAAACGGCAGCCAGGAAACCAGCAGCTGGGATAGCCAGAGCGGAGGCAGCACCGGTGCTTGAGGAAGCAGCGGCAGAGCTGACGGTGTTTGTGGACTTGTCATAACCCGCGGTAGCGGTGGTGTTGACACCAGAGATGTAGGTCTTGCCGTTACGGGAGTAAGTGACACCAGCGTCCAGGCCGTAGGCGGCATCGTAGGGGAAGGGCGCCGTGTAGTTGTAAGTAGGGGTACGGCCCTTATAAGTGTCGATCACGGACTGGAGGATACCGTGGCCGGCAGAGCAAGAGTATTCGGTGGCGGGCACGGGCCAGTTCGACCGGTACTTAGAGTAAGTCCCCTGGGCAAGGGGACCGGGTAGCGACTCGTTGATATACAGGTTCGTGGTATCGACATCCCAGTTAATATACCCGACCGCCTCGGCGACGGGCTTGAACAGGTTAGCACCACAGTCCCATCGACCAAGAGAAGGCAGACCCCAGTTGGCCTCGACGGAGGCAATGCTGGAGTAGTGGGTGTAGACGGTATCGTCCATGGTGCCGACCAGGTCCTTGGGGACCGCACCGCCTAGCAGGATGCTGAAAATGCGGTTGTGGAGGGTATAGGTCTCAGACTCATCGAAGGTCAGGAGCAGTAGGGTGTTGTCCCAGAAGTAGGTGTTGTTCATAAGTTCCGTGACGAAGCCGCGCAGCCAGTCAGAGCCGAAGGTGACGTTGGTATCGTGGGCATCGTTGGTCATGTTGGGGGTGATGAAGGCCCACTGGGGGAGCTGCTTCTTGTCGAGGTCTTCGTAGAAGTCGGTGAAGTTCTTGATCAGGTGCAGAGCAGTATCATTGCTGGAGATCTGGTCGAAAAGAACTAGGGGGTTATGTTTGCGCACGTAGTCGTTGGCATAGGTCTTCTGGTTGGAGTAGTTGTAGCCCTGGAAGCCAGCGTAAGGCTGGGCCTGTTGATACTCGCCCCATGAGATCCCCTTGATGTTCAACAGGTCGGCCACGGTCGACACATTGGAGGGAATGATGTGGAAGTCGTCTGCAAGTCAGAAGTTAGTTCCTGATCGGCAAGGACATGCACGCCTGTCGCGTGGTTGGCTTCCAAGAGATAGTTTGACTCACCATTATCCATGCCGTAGTTGTCTCCACTGGCAGCAGCGCAGTAGTTGGGTTCGGAGGGGTGACCAACACCATAGTAGTTGGTTAGCGAGATACCATTGCTGGCCAGCCACTGCTGGTCGTCGTCACCGGCAGCAGCACTGTAGTCCTGGGGGAAGTAAGTATCCCGAGACGAAGTCAAGTTAACGACAGGGAAGGCAATCGATACATACGACATTCTCCAGCCAGATCTGGTAGAAGCGGTCAAAGGCCTTGCCTGTGACGTTAGAGGTCCAAACCTGGGGGACCGTGGTCGCTTGGGCGGTTCCAATGGCGGCAACGGCAGGCTCGCTGGTGGTGATGGTGGCACCAGCAGCATAACCGGCCAATGCGAAAAGAGCAGCAACAGAGGCCATGAAGGGCGAGGTTGAACGGTATTCCGACCGAGCGAGGTAGAGTAGAAAGTGGCTGGTTCCTAGCAAGAGTGCAAGATTGGTGCTCTTTATACTCCTTCCCCGGGGCCGAGTGCATTGGACGATCCCGCAGCGAGTCAGTACGTCAGAACGACAGCACGTTCCTACGGTGTCTCGGCAGGGTTTGGCAAGGGGTGGAGGCGTTGGAAATGTATGCACCACGGTTGGTGGGGACAGTCCAAAACAAATGGGAGAGGCTAAACCGCAGAAGCCCTAGACTACCTAGAGCACACTCTAACCCTTTCTGGCACTCTCTAATCTCCTGTTCCGGCTAGGGCGGGGCTAAGCTTTCGTCAAGCTTTCTTGACTCGGCTCAGCGCACTCTTTATCGGCCAATCGCCATTGACTCGCTCCAAATTCTACGGCTAACCGGCTTATCCCACGTGCTCTGACTCTTGCACATGGCCAGAGGGCGCATCTTGATTTGTTCCGTCGGTTGGTGCGAGCACATCCAACTGTCCATCCACGGGGGTTTCATTCTCAGCCGATTGCAAATTGGGTTTGGGATTCTTATACGAAGAAGCATCCGGTAATTGTTACGAGGATTCGATACAGCTCTGATGAATTATCAACTGGAGGATGAGTTTCCCACCACGGCTTCAGGAAAGACTTCCAGCCCCTCCGGGCGGGGAGGACCAGTGGTTCTCGCGTCGGCCAGCATTGGCCTATTCGTTGTATTAGCCCTGGCCTTGGGTTTGGGCCTGGGTCTTGGCTTGAGGCACCATAATTCAACCTCGACTTTGGCTTCAGCGAGCTCAGCTTCGTCGCTTGATTATAACTTGCCGCTGGGAAACGAGTCATGGCGCCAGTCTCCGTCGGAGTATGTGCTGAACATGAAGGGCTGGGATTACAGTGCCTCTCCAACAACACGGTCATACAATTTCACGGTGTCGGAGATCGACGCGTTTCCAGATGGTAAGTGGGAGTGAGTGTAGTTAAGGCTCAGCAAACGCTAACGTCAAGTTCAGGAGTTCTACGTAAAGTCCTGGTAGTCAACGGAAAATACCCAGGGCCAATGATCAGATGCAATCGCGGTGACAGGCTGTTGATAAATGTGACAAATGAAATGTCCAACTCGACAACCATCCATTGGCACGGACTGTACCAAAATGGTACCAATTGGATGGATGGTACTGCTGGTATCACTCAGTGTCCTATTCCTACAGGGCGCAGCTTTCTATACAACTTCACTGTGGAAAACCAATATGGCACGTTCTGGTGGCACTCTCACAAGGACACTCAGCGCATGGACGGTCTCTTTGGACCCCTTATCATCCATGCACCAGAGGAAGTCGAGTATCAGAAACGGTATGGGTACACCAGCGATCAGATCATTATTCTACAGGACTATTATCATGATCTCAGTTCCGCATTGTTGCCCACCTACCTAGCGCCTGAAAATGAAAACGCGGAACCTGTGCCAGACAATGGGCTCATTCAAGGAACAAATTAGTATGTCCTATGATCTGCCGGATGTCGTCCTCTCTTGCTGACTGAAAATAGCTTCAATTGCTCCTCCTATGGCCCCAACAGTGGCTATACCTGTTACGACAACTCCACTCGGGCTCTTCTTTCTGTTCAGCAGAACACGAAGACGCGATTTCGACTGATCAACATGGGAGGTTTTGCCACATTTGAATATGCGATTGACAACCACACCGTGACAATCATCGAGGGGGACAGCACGATGGTCGAGCCGCTGCCACGGAAGTCATTGAAGATTGCTCCTGCGCAGCGCTATTCATTTATTGTCGAAGCTAATCAGCCCGTCACGAATTACTGGATGCGCGCCGAAATGGAGACAAACTGTTTCGCCACTACGAATGACGTGCTTAATAGTACAGCTTATGCTATTCTGGCGTATGACAATAGCACAGTTATTCCAGGATCAGGTTCTGTCTCACAGAGCTTCGTTTACGATCCGCTGTGTGAAGACTTGGACTCCTCGCTACGCCTGCCGTCTGTCGGACAGGAAGCACCCGCGGCGGAAGAATTTTTCGTTATACAATTTGGATTCCAGAGCAGGGACTATGCTATAGACTTGGCTTATATCAATGGCACGACTTGGAAAGAATCTGAGGTGCCAACACTCAACCGTATCCTGCCTCACCTTCGTGCTAGCAACAGCACCTACAATCGGACAGGGCCGGCGCCATCATACGGTTTAACTAACCAATTTATTCTCGACATCCCGGAAAACCGAGTCGTTGACATTTTGCTCCAGAATTTCGATGACGGTTCGCACCCGTTTCATCTGCACGGGTACGACTTCTGGGTCATGGCAAGTTCTAACTCACAATACTTCGATTATTCGAGGTATCACACACTGAACCAGACTAATCCAATGCGCCGCGACACGGTAATGGTCGACGCCTATGGCTGGACATTGATCAGAATACAAGCGGACAACCCTGGCCTGTGGGCGTTGCACTGTCACATCGCTTGGCATGTGGCAGCGGGCCTGCTGATGCAGCTCCAGACACGGGATGATTTGATGAAAGATTGGACGCTACCTGATGATGTTTTGGATCTATGTAATGCATGATATTCTTACATATAGCACTTGCCCTGAGAGGCTGTACATTGTGAACTTTGTTAAATTTGTTGTCGCTTAATGGACAGGCTTAACACGACGGGCTTGAAAATAACTCGAATTCTTGGAAGCCATAGCTGTTCAATGTCAGTCCAATGGGCCACGAGCGCTTGTAGAATCGTCTACAAGAACTGCCTCTTCCCTGCAACTAATTGGTTGAAGCTCCTGTAGTCTTATAAAGAGTGAGAGAACATCAAAATCTGTGCCCACTGAAAACATGTAATCTTTACAAGTCGACCAACAGATAGAGGCATTTCCGCCACTCAGAACCACCGTGGAGGTCCTGGAACCTCGTGGTGGTGGTGAATTGCACGCGTTTGGACACCCCCACCGCAGCTCCTCACCGTGCAGCGGCCTGGACACCCCAACGCAGCTGCTCTCTGAGGCACTCCCAGCCCCTCTAATCGACCTGTGGATGCCTCTGACAGAACCAGAACATGAACTGACCCCATAACCAAGCCACGAGGTGCGAACGGCCAAGCTTGGACACAGGTATTTTGGACACGAGCAAAGCACTCGCAGGACTACTAGCCCAAGTGCAAACAGCTTACCAGAACCATCTGAACAGATAGAGGCGCAGCTGACTGAAGAGCTGCAGAGCTGGAAGGCTGCGCAGCAAGCTCGTGAAGACCTGCACACAGGACCACGCTTGAAGAATAGGTCACCAAGATCTGCAGAGAACTGGAACAGGTCCAAAGATCGACACAGGGGCAAACTGCCACAGAGCACACCTATGGTCAGCTAGCGGTCCAAGCGAACCACCGAGCCCTGGATCAAGCGTCGCCGCCCACCCAGAGACAGCCGCCAAAACCCAACCCACGTCTCGTCACTGTTGTGATATGAGTCATAGGGTGCTCAGGAACGAAGCCACAACATCGGAAATAATTCTTGCACTATCTATGGCTTACCCCACCCTCACGGCTACGCTTTTGGGTCCCTCAGCTAACTCACTGTTCTCTTCCCTAACTTCTCTGTTAATCTATTTTTTTCTTAATAGTCTAATGGGAATTATCAATTTCAGCAACCAAAATCAAATAGTGTCTATTTTCTAAGTATTACTCCGCCAGTCCGCCTGGTCGGGGCTTGCCCAGGCTGGCCGCGGCAAGCGGCAACCTGTGACGGTTCATGGATGCTTGGGTTTACCACTACGCCATCTGGCCAAAAAGGCACAATGTTTGGTCAGCGACCAAACACGCAAGCTACTATATATGCTCGATCTCTGACACAACCAACGTGCGTTCCTGGGACGCCAACTTGACCCTGGAAGGAGGGATTTTGAGAAGCCAAAATGCCAATTGGGAAGGTACTCTCGACTGTATAAATGCTCTAAATAGTCGGGTCTTGTCACAAGGAAACTTTGTTGTGTGCGACTTTTCTTGGTTACGCAGAAGCTTTTCTCAACAAAAAGCTTATCTCCCACACTTTCCTTGCCTCTTCTCTGGGTTGTTCCGGGCCTCCCCTCCCCGAGGGGTTCCGAGTCTGGGAATCTCGCTCTTTACTCCGCCGTGAAATACGGAGGTACATGGATTCTTTGTCGGGGTATCACCGCATGCAGTGTGCGTTTGACTAGTGCCGTCGGATACGTGAATCTCGCGTCATTAACGGATGGGCGTAGTAGCGCACGGTCTGGGGGACATGCAACGGCGTTCGTTTCATAGGCGGGGACCCACGTGGCCTATCCTTGTCACCTAGACACTTCTACCTTCACTTCTACCTTCACTTCTACCTTCACGTTTACCCGGGTTGCTACTGAGAATGGATCGAAATGCCATCGGTATCAATCTTGTGGGCCTCCTGGGGGTCTGGGACCGCGGTGGCTGGAGAAGCTTGAGGGCGAGAAACCCGGTCCATTGATTCGGCTGCCACTAAACGTTTGAGATAACGCACGTGTACAACGAAGTAGACTGTCTCAAGCGTCTATACCCTTTTAGTGGCCGTGCCTCGGGCAACTTCAGATTACCGATTGGAACCTGAGTACCAGGTAGTGAGGGTTTGATTTGTGTCGAGCTGAGAGATATTACCACTAAGAACTGGCTGACTCAGCGACAACCCATTCCTCCATATGTTTTTGAATGATAAACCGGGTCAACTCGGAATACCTGCGTTGTAACACGCAATACTAGCCTTACTAGCCTCTTAGGCTATGAGACGCTCTCAACAGCGGTCTCCAGGATAGTTCTTCAATCAACTCATTCAATTGTTTCCCTCAGTACTAGCATATACGGAAACCCTACGACCCATTAATTTGTCCTACCAGGGAAGTCCAGTTAGGATGGGCGCCACATTACTTTCCAGCGAATCGCTCCGTTGGTAATTCGGCGGAGAATACAGCACCAAAGTGCTCCATCAGTAGGTATTGATAGTACCTCGAAGCAAAACTCATAGACCCCTATTCCCATCCCAGCGTGGGCGCTACCTAGGTCATACTGGTGAGACGCCCCAATTTTGACATTTTTTGTAATATCGCTCACTTTTGTACTATCTGCTGATCTACTTTGGGTCAATATTGGTTTCTGTGGCGTTGGTGCAACCATGGGTCATTCGAGCGTATTTAAAGATGACCTGGCTCCTAAATGTTATGAAGGTCCTTCTCGAGTTGTCTGGTTTTTGACGTCGCTAGCGGTGTTTCTATCCGAACTTGATACGCAACATGGCTGCTACCGATGCCGAAAAGACTGAAAAGGTCGCCGACCTGACCCACGAGGAGCTTCAGGTACCTCTCGATGCTGTGCCCAAGTCTCGCTGGGAACGGAGCTGGCCCGTCATTGCTTGCGGTGCTGGTCTCTTTTCCGATGGTTATCTCAATGGCGTATGTTGCACTGAAACCTCTTGAGACCCGTTGCTGGGAGAAAGAATCTGACAGCTCATCGTCACAGGTTATTGGATCTGTCAATACCATGTTGTCCCGAATTTATCCCGACAGCTACAAGAATTCGCCCGCGCTCCGCAATGTCTCCTCCCTCGTCTTTGTTGGCGAGGTAGTCGGCATGCTGTTCTTCGGTATTACCAGTGACTACTGGTCACGCAAGTGGTCTCTGATGGCGTCTACCGTACTGGTCATTCTCTTTGCTGCGCTCAGCGCCGGATCGTATGGTGCTAACGGGAGCCCGACCGGTCTCTTCGCTGCTCTGACAGCCTATCGTTTCTTGATGGGTATTGGTATCGGCGGTGAATACCCTGCAGGCTCTGTTGCTGCGGCAGAAAGCACAGGCGAACTGAAGGAGGGCCATCGCAACCGTTGGTTCATCTTTTTCACCGACCTCATCATCGACTTTGGCTTCGTTGTGGCCGCGTTCGTGCCCATGGTTCTTATTCTGATCTTTGGAGAGGACCGTCTCGAGGCCCCATGGCGCATTGCCCTGGGTCTGGGTGTTCTTCCGCCACTCAGTCTGGTCTACCTCCGTCTGAAACTCCAAGAGCCCGAGGAGTTCAACCAAGAGCGCATGCACAGGTTCCCGTACGGTCTGATCATCAAGTAAGTCAACTCTTCGCCTTTTGACGAAGAACAATCCGCTAACGATCCGTCCATCGTAGGTATCACTGGAAGAATCTAGTAGGCGATCATCTCTCCATAATAGAACCCGTTCGCCTTGACTCTAACAAATAGCAGCTCGTTGTATCTCTCGTATGGTTCATCTACGATTTCTCCGTCTTTGCCTTTGGAACCTACTCCTCCGTCTGGCTGGCAAACATCCTCGGAACCAGCGCTCCTCTGTGGCAGACTTTTGGCTGGAATGTTGTGGTTAACCTCTTCTATCTGCCTGGCTCGCTATTGGGCGCATTCGTCAGTGATTGGATTGGCCCGCGCATGTGCTTGATTCTCGGCATGACTGCTCAGGCCGTGGTTGGCTTTATCATGTCTGGCTGCTACGAATTCTTGTCGCTTCCTAAGAACGTCGCTGGGTTTGTTGTTGTCTATGGGTAAGTTCACCATCAGTGCTCACGTGTATGCTTCTCCACGGAATGATAAGACTGACAAGTCTAGTATTTTCCTCTCTCTAGGTGAACTTGGCCCCGGCGACAATATCGGCCTCATCGCTTCGAAGTCTAGCGCAACCGCTGTCAGAGGCCAGTACTATGCTATCGCTGCCGCCATTGGTAAAATTGGCGCCTTCGTTGGCACCTATATGTTCCCTCTCCTCCAGGACAACCCTAACCCGATTGCCGCTGGCCAGAATCCATTCTTTGTTGCCAGTTCTCTTTGCATTTTCGCATCGGTTATAACTTACTTCGGCTTGCCCCATATCGGACAGGTGAGGTTACACATGACTCTCAACACTCGATGGATTGTATACTGGCCTCAGTGACTGACGTGTTCGTTAGGATACTATCACCAAGCACGATCGCGAATTCCGTGAATATCTGGGAGCCCATGGATATGATACTTCTACTCTTGGACAGCGCACCGAGGGAATATAGCATGGCAATAGGTCCTATTGACATCTGGTAGCTAAACTATCCATACTCCGATGTTTGAATCAGTTGATGGTATAGTAAGGCTAGGACGAAGGTGCTACAAACTTTAAATATATTTAGTCACTATTGAAACTCTGTAACTATGACAATTATTTGCCTTGATAATTACTGTACTGTTGTGACGATTGAGACGAATCGTCTCAGACGATTAGGGATATGAGATCACGTGAAAGATCAGGTAACAATGCATGAAGGAAGGAATATTCTTAGATGCATTGTTGAGGTGCCTGAAAAGAAAAGCCAGCTGTGACACATTGCCTGTGCACATACATTATGTCCCAACTGAGAGACTCGTAATTTGGGGGAGGTTTGGATGGTTGGGTGGTTTGCATAAAGGCTAAATCTATTCTCATGATCAGCATTTATCTTGAAAACGGACAGGAGGGGTTTGCTATTACCGGCCACCCGGGAAAGAAAGTACGACTACCTCATACTTGACCATTGGGGATTGGACGGGTGGACGAAATATTACGGAC